GTAGGTATTTGTATAACTGTGAAGCCTCACTATGGCGATATGGTACTCAAAAGAATGAGACATTTATATATGAAGGTCTTTGCCTTGTACATTTTGGCAGTGTGATTCTTTCTGAGAAGCAAAAATAAGCATTTTTACAAGCATTATTTTTTGAAATGTCTGGTTAGATTGATCAGGCCATGCTCTATCTTTGTTTGTCAAGTTGGCTGCTCAGCGTTTCTTGCTTGTGCTTATACTTTCCTCTTGAGTTCCACCTATTCCTGTGATGGTAGATTAAGTAGTTATTTAGATCTTTTTCTAATGATTGAACTTGAATTTTCAATTTGAGCAAATTTGGCGCTGTTATGTTTTAGTCTATTAGCTAATATCTTAATATCAAAAATAATATACAATTATTGAGGATATTAAAATTAATGAAGCTTCAAATTATTGGAGCACATACTGTGTAGAACTTAAGAAGTTCCTTTTTTTATTGTTTTTTTCCTTTTTAACAACAGCAGTAGAATCCTACCACAATAGGTTATAAGAGAGAGACAGTGACTAAATTTACATAGCCTGATATGGCCATAAAGGTTTGATTCCCATGGATCATTCGGAACAGAATGATATAAATTCAATTACAAATTAACTGGGAATAGAATTAGCTTGATTTTATTGCGTTACGATTCTACATCATGCATAGACATTTTCAATTTTTGAATCCATAAGTTTTCATATTTTAGTATTATCTGCAAGTATTTTTAAGTATGCTGTATTTTCTTTAATTGGGACTTGCCACTTGGTAAAATAATTAGGTTTTCTGAACACAGTTGAACGTGTCATTTCCTTTGAAATGCTAGGACTATTCTTTTGGAGATATTGTTTCTTTTTGCTTAAGATAGCTGAACCTTTTGCATAGGCAGCTTGCTCCTTCCAGTATTTCTGCCTAGTTGGGCCTCTTAGGGGTAATAGAAGTATGCCCACGCCAACCCCCCCCCCATTTTTTTCCCCATTTTTCTGTTCTTTTTGGCAGACTGGGAAACATTCTAGTACAATTTCACTGTTGCATTATGTGTTTTGGCGATCATGTTAATTATTGTGGTGAAAGGATATGCTGCAAGGAAATTGAGATAAAACCGCCCTGGCAATGTAGCGATCTTGTCTGCCATGGACAGCTGAGATAAGATAGAAGAGGCATGTACGGTTCTAACACCAATTCTGTAAGCTCTAGGCGCACAAAAATAATTACATATTTATGGGATGTAATTATTTAGCAGTTCAACTATAATAGCTTTCACAAGCAACTGTAAAGTCTCTAAAAAATTGAAGCACTCTGCTATTTTCTTTATTTGGTGAACAGTTGTCAAACAACTCATCAGACATTTGCAATCATTTTGATTAACATGGATAATTCTGTTTTATTACATGCTTAACATTAGAGTTTCATATGTAATTGATGCTTACATGGTTTGTTTTGTGATATTTCTTGTCAGCTCAACGCCTCTCAAATACGAAGACCCATTTAAAACCCTATGGTAAAGGTCAGCAAGATCAATTCAACTGTTGAGATGTGGGGAAAATTATACCGTTTAGCTCCAGTGACTCTCCCGAAGGAACAACAATCAATCCATCAGAAACGGAGATCACATGCATATCAGTGGAAGAGACCAACAATGTTTCTTGAAGGAGATTCTGTTCCTCCTGGTGTAGATCCTAACACTGTTAGATGGATTCCTTCAAATCATCCCTTTGCAACTAAGCTCAAAACAATGTGTACCAGAAGCATGGTGTTCCATTTTGTATTCAGGCAGAGCACGAGGCGCTGCAGAGAAAGCTTGACTTCTTTGAATTATGCTGTTAGTAAATTCTTTAAATTTAGAAGTCCTTATTAGATTTATCCAAGTGATAAGATCTCTTCAATTTATGACCTAATAGGGAGTGTTACCAATCTTTACTTGTATTAGTTGTTGATTGAAATAAAGATAAATGTACGTATGGTTATGTTTGCACTTGCATGCTTGCAAACCAGTTTGTTGGGGTTTGAATTGGATTAGAGTTGCACCAGATGTGAGAGCAGGGGGAAGGTTTAGTAGCGCATCTGATCGTTTCTCCTGCAAATTGCCAAAAGTAGTTCACATTTAAGAATGTGGGCATTTATCATTGGTTACTTTCTGGAGTCTTTAACTTCAACAAAATGATTTGCATCTGGGTGAGTGTCTGTGCACGTGCATTTTTGTGTGTTTGCATTTGTTCAAGGTCACCAAGTCTATTCGAGATCATCAAGTCTATTCGTCCATTAATTTGTTATGGTTTTATTACAAATTCTTAGTCTTGGCCGTATCCTTGATTTGCTCATTATAGAAGATAAGCATTGAAGTCAGTTTTCTTTGTTTTGCAGGAGCAAAACTCTAAATCCTGCTTCAGCCAGAGACTTTGAGAGGCAACTAAAGCCACATCTGAAGTTAGGCGATCAAGTAGAACAAAGCACTTCGAATACTAAATGTAGTCCTAATCCTTCTAAATCTGACTCTGCACATAATCCTTTGAACAAACCAATCTATGAGGATGCAGAAGCACCAATTTTCACTGCATGAAAACTTGACTTTCACTAAATACAGTATCTGCGGTAGCAGTACCTGCAGATGTGTATGTTAAGTGAGAGAGGCTCATTGTCTATTTGCATGGAGTCTTTTGCCAATGTTCAAATCCACCTGCTCTAAATCTTGGAATGTACATAGTATTAAATGTTTGAAATGGAGAGTTTTTTCAGTCTGCAATAGTTGTATATATATCTTTTGGAAGATCAATGGTCTGCAATGGCTCATTTTGATTTGAATTATGCTTGTTAGGAGACAACCGATGATTAAGGAGGAATTGGAGAATGATAATGAGAAGAGGATTGAACTGCAAGAAAGGCAAAATTTAGGGACTAAAGTACAAATAATCAAATGTTTGCTCGGACCAAAGAATGACATTTGAGAGTGCTAGGTCTCAATTGGATGTGGATAGAAGTCGATGGGATGAATGAACATTCGAGAGTGCTAGGACTCAATTGTATACGAATAGAAGTCAATGGGATGAAAATGCGCGCATGGTTTTGTGTGCCTGACACCTTTCCCTAGACCGCCTGAAGCCAAAAGGCTCCTTAGAGGTGAGTGCCTAACTAGTTTAATTCCAAAGGAAAAAATTTGTTTCCTTTTCTTTGTTTTGCAAGTATTGAATTGGTGTCTTTTTGCAAATATCTGAACATGAAATAAGCTGTAATTTCACATATAGAATATAAAAAAATGTGAAAAGAGAATAAAAATTTAGGAGTTAGGGTTTCATAATATGCAAACCAAGTGAACAAATTTCGTTCTTAATGCAAAATATACTCAAGAACCTCTAAATCTAAGAGCACCAAAGGATCAAAACCCTCTTTAATCAGAGAAGCACAATGGACAGAGTCAAGAAATTAGTATTTCCAACAACTAATATCAAATGGAAACTATTGTCGAAGCAAAATTGATGAGAATTTCAATGAATAAAAAATAATAATAAAATAAATAATAATAATGATGATGATGTAGAGTACATGCTAACAAGAAGAAAAGACCCCACGGATAGATTGTCAAAAAAAATCGATTAAGAAAGAGAAGATGAGAGTGGTAGAAAAATCGACTAAAGAGAGAAATGAAGAGCTGTGGAGACAATTGGTGGGGGGGACGGAAATTAGTGTAGGGTTTTCATCCTTAGGTCGTTTAACACAAAACGACGCCGTTTTGTTCGAAAACTTGAACAGTGGTATGGAAATGACCTCTAGTTGTTCCAAGGTGAAAAAAAAAAGGCCCATCCTGAGAGACTTTTTATTACCTGAGCTTTTGTTTCTAATCACAGCATCTTCGTATTTCGTCAGATGATGTATTATCAAGCTATTCGATTTGGAAACATGCTTCTGTTCAAAGGCTAGCAAAAGGACAAACCTTAAAGTCTCAGTATCCTAAATACAATTTATATACACGAACTTTACTTGGAAGCAATATATAATGCTGCAAAATAAATGTATATATAGACCACCTCGTTTCTCATCTTCGTCCACCCACTTCTTCTCTTGCATTTTCAAATTCAAGAAATGGGTTTCTCTTCATTTTCTAAGCTGTCGTTTGTTGCATCTTTCTTGCTGTTCTTCGCCTTTAGTACAACATTTGCCCAAGATTTCTCCATCGTGGGTTATTCAGCGAAAGATTTAACGTGCATAGATAAACTTATTAATCTCTTTGAATCGTGGATTGAAAAACATGGCAAGGGTACAAGAGCCTCGAAGAGAAGCTGCACAGGTTTGAGATTTTCAAGGACAATTTGATGCACATTGATGAGAGGAATAAGGTTGTTTCTAACTACTGGCTTGGTCTGAATGAATTTGCGGATATGAGCCATGAAGAGTTCAAGAAAATGTATTTGGGGCTCAAGGATGATCAATTGCCTAACGGAAATCAGCCTCCCCAAGAATTTGAGTACAGAGATTTTGTCGATTTGCCCAAGTCCGTTGATTGGAGGGAGAAAGGAGCCGTAACTCGAATCAAGAACCAAGGCTCATGTGGTATGCATACTGATAAATCTTACACGTGTTGGTGTGTTGGAGTACTAAATACTCGACTGGGGTAAGAAAGAAAAAGTTAAAGCTATTATTTATTATACTATCCAGTCCTGTTTGGGCACATTTACATATAGTTTGAATCTGACATGATATTGTCTGTCTAATTTCTAATATGGCGAGATTTTCGCATGTAACTATGCTATATACTGCAGGAAGTTGCTGGGCATTTTCGACGGTAGCTGCAGTGGTGGGCATAAACCAAATTGTTACAGAAAACTTAACCGAATTGTCTGAACAAGAGCTGATTGACTGTGACACAACTTATAACAATGGTTGCAGCGGAGGGCTAATGGATTATGCATTTGCTTTTATTGTTGCTAATGGTGGGCTTCACAAGGAAGACGACTATCCCTACCTAATGGAGGAAGGTACTTGTGAACAGAAAAGGGTAAGTGATAACTTTGTCGAAATATCAAACATGTAAATAGGAGATCTAGGTGTGCTGTCAATTTACGTTTGATACTGAATTTTCGATATGTAAACCGTTTCAGGGAGAATCAGAAATAGTAACAATCAATGGTTACCACGATGTACCTGCCAATGATGAACAAAGTCTCTTGAAAGCACTAGCAAACCAACCTCTGAGTGTGGCCATTGAGGCTTCCGGTAGAGATTTCCAATTCTACAGTGGGGTAATGCTCTTGTTTACCTTTCTTGTAAATTTTTATTTCAACGAGGCATTTACTTTTTGCCGTTTTTGCCTAAGACACTTAAATTTCTTAAGTTGAACTTGAATCGAGATAAGACTGCAACCTGCATAACTTATTTGAAAGTTAATACGGTTTTGATCTTTGCAGGGTGTGTTTGACGGGCACTGTGGAACTGAGCTTGATCATGGTGTAACAGCCGTTGGATATGGATCAACTAAGGGTTTGGATTACATCATTGTAAAGAACTCATGGGGTCCAACATAGGGAGAGAAAGGGTACATAAGGATGAAAAGAAACTCGGGGAAGCATGAAGGTCTCTGTGGCATCAATAAATTAGCCTCTTATCCTACCAAAACCAAGTGACCTAATTAAAACTTCTGCCGGTTTTTACACCTTTCGTCATCCCTTCATTTCATCTGCTATTATTTTTCTATCTGTTGTTTAAGAAATAGTTCATCATTATGAAATAAGGAACAATATTTGTTGCTTGATGAAATTAAGGATCATTTATGTTTTGGCCAATGTGGTCTTAATATCCAATAGAATAATTTATAAACATGAGTATTAAGCTTCAATACACAGATCCATCAAAAGGGCATAATAATATATTTATAGCAGCATCTAAGTACGTCAATTACCCAAGTTCAAGGATCAACTTTTCTGGATTTAGCTCTGCAAAAGGAATGAATCATCTACCAAAAAACCTGCTACACAAAAGGATCAACTTTGAAATATCACAAACTCATTTACAGAATTCTTCCATATCCTTACATCCAAGTATCTAATAAAACCTGACCAGTTGTCATTGTACACAGCAGAGAAGAGATTTGACAAAGAGCATGACAAAAATAAAAATAAAAATAAAAATACATGAAGTATTAAGAAGCAGATATAAATCATATATATGACTTCTGATATCTTCAGGTCTTGTCGCCAAAACCTTACTTGATAGATCTCAATGTTCAGCTATTGAAACTCGAAAGAACTTGATTTGGTGAATCACTTGAGCTGTGATACTCTAAGCATCACCAACTTGATTAGTAGATTGTTGTAGACAGATGCATGGATTTGTAAAACTACGCAAGATGCATGTACCAGTGGTTTCATCTTCATTTTCATTCTCTTCAAGCGATCTTCCTTTGGTTTCACGAGTGAAGAAATATGTAACAATCATTCCCAGAATACAAATCCCACCTAAGATCACCAGAGAGGCTGTCATTCCAATTCCTTTAGTATAACCGTTCTTTGTCTTATTTTGAGAAGCCCATAAAAACCCGACTGAACCAATAATTGCACCGATTTTCCCTGCAGCTCCTGAAATCCCATGGCAAGTTGATCGGAATCGAGCAGGGAAAAGTTCAGCGGGAACAATGAAAGTGGTTGTGTTTGGTCCGAAATTTGAGAAGAAAAATGTTAGACCATATAAAAACAAGAATCCTATATTGGGATGTTTGTCCCAGTATATATCGTATGGTATTCCTATAGCAAACATGCCTATTGCCATGAAAAAGAACCCCATTATTTGGATTTTGACTCTCCCAACTCGATCAATAAAGTAAACAGTTGCATAATACCCTGGGATTGTGGAACAGATTGCTATAATTGCTTGGAGTTTTGCATACTGAAAGGCGTCTTCAAATGCATTTACGTCCCTCTTGGACCGAAGATAACTATCGTTTTCATATATTTTCGATTGGAAAAGGTTGCTGCTGTAGAAAACGACATCGACTAAGAACCAGTTGGCAGCGCAAGAGAAAAGGTCGCGTCCATGGCGGCGAAGGAATTCTTTGGAGAAAAGGGAATAAGATGGTGGACTTGGTTGACTCTCCTCTGCAATTTGACTCAATGAAACGTCTAACACTTTTTGCATGTCCTTGACTGCTTGTATTACATTTCTCTCTACCAAAGCTGTATACCTGTTAAATTTAACCATATTTAATTTAGATACAATTACAAACATGAATACGAATACTAAAATTAATTATGTATGATTAAGAGAGAGAACTCAGTTATTAATTAAAAAAAAAAAAAAAGGAATAAAGTACATATTTCAGTTCTGAAACCTTACCTGGCAGTCTCAGGCATCATCATCCGCCAGTAATAAGTCAACCCCGCCGGCACAGCACCGATCATCAGTATAAGCCTCCATGCCAGGTCTGCCGACTCCGGCGTGTGGTCTGGTGCCGGATAATTTGATGCCCGGTTGAATATAGCACAAACTATCATAGTCACAGTGGAGCTCACCAGAATTCCAAACCCCTGCATGGAAAAAACTGCAGCTATGAACGCACCACGTGTCTTCCGGTTCGAGAACTCTGACATAATAGTCGCAGACAATGGGTAGTCTCCCCCGATCCCCACACCCAACGCGAACCTGAAAAAAATAAGAGAGAGAAGGACAAAAGTCCTGGACGTGCTTAAAGATAATCCACACCCGATGGAGCTCAAGACCATCAGCATGAGTGCCAGACCATAGACGCGCCGCCGCCCTATTCGGTCCCCGAGGTAACCAAACACCAGTTGCCCAATAACGGTCCCGAGGAGGGCCATGCC